CGCGGCGCCTTGAGCACGTGGTTCTTGCGCGACTTGAGCTTGCAGGACGCGCCAGAGCCGTTGGTGGTGAAGGTGCCGTTGGTCGAGCCGAGGTCCTGCCGGAGGGGAGGCGGGCGCGGGCTCGACGGTCCGCTCGGTCCCTCCCAGCGGGCTCTCCCTCGCGCGCCTGCAGCTTGAACTGCTTCCGGTCAAAGGAGACCTTTGCGTGCACCGACGAGACCTCGTCGTCGCCGCTGAGGCAAAAGTCGTTGTCCGCCGTCCGACCGATGCTCCACGTCTTCCTGTCCGCCGCCGGCTCGACCTTGAAGATCTTCCCCTGGTGCACGCCGCGAATCCCCACCAGCGCAAACGCGTCCACCGACGGCTCGCTGCTGCCAGACGGCTCGGAGGTGGTGGCGGTTTTGCGAGGCACCTCGTCGCGCTCGCTGTCGTCGCGCTCGCTGTCGTCGGCCGAGCGCGCCTGCGCCTCGACCGCGGCGTCGCGCAGCACCTTGCGGGCGCGCTTGAACTCGGCATCGTACCGCTCGATGAGCTCCTCGCCGTGCCGCTTGAGCGCAGCGGCACGCTCCGACGCGGCCGCCTTCAGGTACTGCTCGACGGTCATCTGGCGATCCTCGTCGGTGAGCGAGATCGGGGCAGCGGCGACGGCGACCGCCATGGTGGCTGGAGCTGGAGCTGGGTGTCCTGTCGACCGGGCTCGCCACTGAGTTCAAAGCCCAAGCGGGCTGGGAGGCAAGAAAGAAGAAATGGCTGCGCGAAAATAACCTGTCGCCCGAGGGGCTCGGGCCCAGGCCTGAACTCCTCACAAGCTGCGAGTTTTCGTGGAGGGCGCCCACACCGCCTAGCTCTGCGGACGGGCCCCTCCACCCTTCATGTACGGACGGATCATGTAGTCCAAAAATCTCTCTCTCTGTGTAGTCCCCACAATCGCTGAGAGATTTTAGAAAACCAACAAGAAATCACGACTCTCACAGTGATTTGGGCTCGGCAGCTTGGCAGCCCTCAGCCGAAGCTGGGGCCGGTCCCGTAGCCGAGAGAGCCCGCGCCGATGAGTTCGACGCGGTCGGGGGGGGCCTGCGGAGAGGCCAGCGAGGTGGCGATCGCTCTGTACTTCATGGCGCCCTCAAAGTGGGGCTGGCTGACTCGCCAGAGGTCGATACTCTGGACGACCCATAGGATGCCACGAATGCCTGAAGGAGAGGGAGGCGAGGCCAGAGGCAGGCTCAGCTGCTCTCGGGTGATCTCACTTTGGTGGCTGAAGGACCCGATGGTCCTGTCACATTCGCGTTCCGTGTCGTGGGGGTAGAAGAATTCGAGGTAGAATCGAGTCAGCACTTCCTTGTAGTACAGCGGACCGCCAGGCTCGCCGGCAGCATCCGCAGGGAGGCAGCATATGAGGCACCAGTCTTCTGAAGAGCTCAACAGCTGCGGCCGCGATGGTAGAGTCGGCCGCGGTTCGAGCGAGCAGCTTTTTCTCTCTCCAAATCGCTGTCGTGGGATCGCTTGTCATGTGAGAAGAAAGAAAGAAAGAAAGTCAGCAGACAACCCAAGAGAGTTGTTTTGTTTACAACCCAAGGGAGGGATGGGAGGACGGCACGCCGCCACCACACAGGGATTTTAAAGGAGAGGAGTGTGGTGAGCTAGTCGTCGCCCACCCTTCCTTGGTCGTCTGCCTCTTTCTATCTCGTGTGAGTGTTAGAGTTGTTTGTGTGGTATAGTGGCCACTCACTGGCCCTTCGGCTTCGCATTCCCTCGCCGATTTCTCGCTGCAACCTTCATGCCACCTCGCGGTCGTCCCACTCTCGTCGTTCTCCCTCCTGTCGCTTCCTCCTCTGTCGCGTCGCTCTCCTCTGCCTCGTCCTGCGAGAGTGCAGAAAGAAAGAAAGAAAACAGACAACCCAAGGGAGGGATGGGACGACGGCACGCCGCCACCACACAGGGATTTTAAGGAGAGGGGTGTGGTGCGCTAGCCGTCGCCCACCCTTGCGCCTTGGGCGTCCGCCTCTTCCTATCTCTCTTCGCATTCTCTCGCCGCTTCTCGCTGCAACCTTCGTGCCACCTCGCGGTCGCCCCCTCTCGTCGTGCTCTCCCTTGTCGCTTCTTCCTCTGTCGCGTCGCTCTCCTCTGCCTCGTTCTGCGCCGCCGCCGCCGCCTGCCGTTCCCTTGTTCTCGCGGCTTCTTTCGTCTTTCGTCGCAGCTCCGCCCTCCTTGCTGCATATCCTGGCTGCATAGTCTATCGAGCTCTCCTCGAGCAAGGACGAGTCTTCTGACGACCACCTGCGAGAGTGCGTTGTGTTCAATTATCGACTTTAGGTTAGGTTAGGTAGAAAGGTGAAGAACAGCCAGGCTCGGACTGGACACCAACGCGGTATGGGTGGACGCTAGACAGATGATGACGACACGCACGAGCGACACACAAGACACAAACAGGCTCACAAGACACACAGCCAGCGGGCTGCCACACACCCTGAGTATAGGCGTACACATAACTCAAGGCCACATCCTCCCTGTCGCCCCCCCCAGCACTCCAAGGTGCCAAGAGAACAAACAAGGGCACAACAAACAACAGACACAACAGGAAGTAACATGCGAGGCTAGAGCAGGCTTGCTCCACCTCTCTAGCAAACTAGCAATCTCTCCGGCCGGCGAGGCACGGACGAGACCGTGTGTGGGGTCTAGTGAGGTGTCTATGGACGCCCTCCTCACAGGCTAGCTGCCTTACAGCACAGACATTCGTGCGTGGTTGCCGTCCTCATGCTCCTGCTCAGCCACGTTAGTGAGCGCATTGCGGACACACCTGCGCCGGTTCGCAGCCGCTGCATCCTGGAGCACCGGGCCCTGGAGCCACACCCGTATAAACCTCGGTTCGACCTCGCGGTGCGAACACGTAGCATGCAGAAGCATGTGCAATCGCAGCTTGTCCCGCATGTCGTCGCACCATCCCATCTCCGTGTACACCGTCGTCCACAATTGAACCGCGTTGCGAAGGCGCTGACAAGTCAGCTCCTCCCTACGAGACATCGGCCTCGGCCCGAGAATCACCGTCACGGCGCTTCGACGTCTCGCCCTTCTCCGACGACTCGTCGTGGACGACGCGGCCGTGCCTCGACCGGCTACACCCACAGCCCTTTGCTGACCGAAAGAGATACACCTCGAAGTAGTGCCGCTTGACCCTATTCCAATTGATCTGCATGTGAGATGTTGCCTCCGCTCCATCCCCACCCTCGATCAATAAGTCTTTCAATGCGAAAGTCACGTCACCGGCTACACCCACAGCTCCATCCTCGTCACCTCGCTCGCGACGCTCCCTCTCCACCAACGGCCTCAATGTGGTGCTCAGATTCGAATGCAACTGGTCACGCTCGACCGGCTCGCTGATCACCGTCAGGGCGGCGACCGAGTGCGGCGCCTCGCCGGCCGCGTCGCTCCCGCCGGCGCCGTCCGTGTCTCCCAACGGAGGCATCGCGTTTCGAACCACAACGGACTGCGCGCTCCGCATTTCGAACCACCAAAACTCGCCGACCCAGGTCCAGGTCCAGGTCCAGGTCCAACAAGATTGCGCCCGGCCCTCTAGCGCCGCGCGCTGGTCTCTGTTTGCGTCCCCGCGCGACCTG